GAATGCTGCTTATACTTAAAAAATAATAACTTCTCTTGTTCAATGTCAGCCTTAAGGCATTCCTGCCAGCATTATGAAATATATGCCATAAAACCTACATAACCGAGTTAATGCTGCTGTAGGAACCTTATCTTTGGAATTTCCTGACATAAGGCTTTCTCATTTTCCATTTTAGGATCGAAGGCATCAGTCCTTGCATTTAATTTCCTGGGGCTTAGAGAAATGAAGAAAAAAGAGAGAAGAAGGGGAAGGAGAAGAGGGAAGGGGAGAGAGAAGAAGAAAAAGAAAAAAGACAAGGTAAAAATAAGAAGAGAAAAAGAAAAAACACATTTTCTCAGACTGAGTATCTGAATTCACTGGTTTGGCCCCTGCTGAGGCGGACTAATCGGCCTATGAAAATAAGCCGAATACGTTCTCGCGCACACAGCCCGGCCGTGTAATTCTAAACCTTCATAACCTCCAAGTCCTTAATCATTTCTTTCTCCAACCTTGGCCCAGCTTTCCTGCCTCAGAGAAGGCAGTAAGTCTGCCAAATTCAGAGTTGAGCCTTTTCTTTTCTTTTTTCCTCACTTTTTTTTTTTTAGAGATAGGACCACAATAAAGAGCCCACTTTATTTTTTAAGAGCACAAAATCGACATCTTGCCCTAATCACCCTCATTGTACTATTTTAAACAAAATGAAAAAATCCAAAGCCAAAATTCTTAAAACACAGCTGATGCAACCGTATTCAAACTGGCCAAGAAAAATTTCATCTTTGGATTGAAACGAAGTAACTTTAGTGGGTTTTAAAGAAAATGCTGGAAGACTAAAAAGAGCAGATGGTGCTACGAGAGAAAAGATAACGGGAATAACTGTCCGCCAGGCTGACCTGCCTCCCCAGCGGTGACCCAGATGAAAGGCTCTGGGCCCCTAGAATCAAGCCGCCAGGAGAGTGGGCCTCTTGGGAGGAACAGCTGGAGAGGGCACGGCAGAGCTGCTACTAGGAAGCACTGGGACAGGCAGGACGTCACCAGAGTGGCACTTGTTTGGGAAAGGATGTAGGGTTGGGGATGGACTCAGACTTTCTCAGAACATAAAGAAGGAATTCTCTACATTCTTCTATAGACCTCGCTGATACCAAAGTCTGATAAAGATAGTAAAATAAATACCAAGTACAGGCCAGTCCCATTTATGGAATAGGGAGACAAAAACCTTAAAATATTAGCAAATAGAATTAAGCAGTAATCTAAAAAAATAATAAACCAAGATCAAGTGGGATTTCATCCCAAAAATCTAAGGATGGGTCAATTATCAGGATATAAATTCACTATTAACAGGTCAAAGAAGAACCGTCTGATTGTATAAAGTTGCTGAAAAGTAATTTGACAAAATCTACCATTCAATCCTAACTTTTAAAACTCTTAGTTAAACAAAACCACCGATGTGGCTCAGCTGGTTGGGCATCGAACCACAAAGTGAAAGGCTGCAGTTCAATTCCTGGTAGGGGCGCAAGTCTGGGTTGCAGGTTCAGTTCCAGCTAGGGCATGTACGAGAGGCAACCGACAGATGTTTCTTCCACACATCGATATGCCTCTCCCTTTCTCCCTTCCTTTCCCTTTCTCTAAAACAAACAAACAAACAAACAAAACCTTAAAAAAAACTTAGTAAAAAAAGAAATATAAATGAACACGACCTGGATAACATAAAAACCTGTGTTCCATTTGACACATATACAAGAATGCTTGAGAGTGGAATGCAAACAACACCGCCACTGAGGCTAGGAGTGAGGCGAGCCTCCCCCGGCTATCACTTACTTCATGCTGCTCTGGAAGGGGCAGGCAGGGCGATTTGGTAAGAGAAAGAACTTGGAGGGGTAAATGAGAAAGAAAGTGGTAAAATGAGAATTCTTTGCAGGCAATATGATTATATACATATAAAGTCCAAGAGAATCAACTGACAAACTATTAGAAACAATAAGAAATTTCTATAAGGCGTTTTTCAAGAGAGTAATATACAAAATAAATAGTTTCCTTAAATCTGAAAACCATATAATGAGGAAAAAAGATTATATTAACAATGACAACAAAAAGATAAATTACTTAGGACTAAACTTAGCAAATACAAGAATCCCAATTAAAAACTAACATACAGACCTAGCTCGTATAGCTCAGTGGATTAAGCACTGGCCTGTGAACAAAATGGTCACTGGTTTGATTCCTGGTCAGGACACATACCTGGGTTGCAGGGCAGGTCCCCAGCTATAGGCCAGGTCCCCAGTTGGGAGCGTATGAGAGGCAATGACTGATGTTTCTCTCACACATTGGTGTTTCTCTCCCTCTCTTTCTCCCTCCCTTCCCCTCTCTCTAAAAATAAATAAATAAAATTTAACACGGAAACTAACATATAACTGTCAGATGGGTACTACACTTGTTGGGGTGATCACTTCACTGGTTATATAATTGTCTAATCCTTATGTTACATCCTGAAACTAATATATGTTAATTGCAATTTTTAATTTTTAAAAATACAAAAATAACATTTTGTGTCAGTGAAATTTGACAGTGATATGTAGAACATTTAGAAAAATACATGAAAGAAAAGTGGAGACATTTTTGAAAATGAGGAGTACGAAAATAAATAAGAGGTTTATAATTATTAAAAAGAAGACCATTTTTTTCATGACATGATAATACACACAGGATGCCCAAGAGAACCAACTGGCTGATTATTAGCAAACAGTAAGAAGTTTCTGTAAACTGTACTAGAGAGCAAAATATATTGTGAGGTTAAAACATTGGTATTGGAGAAGAAATAGATACCCTGATTAAGCAAAAGAGAGCCAGAAAAAAATAATAGCTAACATTTATTGAGCATTTACTATATCCTGGGCTTTGTTTTATGGTTTACCTATCTTCTTCACAACTTGTAAAGTGGTTATTATAATTACCACCATTTCACAGATAAGTAAAATGAGGCTGAGACAGGTTTTGCAGCTTGTTCCACGTCGCCCAGCTGGTAAGTAACAGAACTAGAAGCACTGTGGCTCCAGAGTCTTCTCTGATGCTACCTATGGCTCAGCATAGCATTATTTGTAAACTGGAAACAACCTAAGTGTCCATCAGTAGGGGAAGAGCTATGTAAAACATATTGCATCCACATATAGAATGCGACAGTTAGAGGAAGGTGGAGGGGAAAAAAAGGAGGGTGGTAACATTGAAAGATCTCAATGATATCGTAAGTAAAAAAGAATATATACTGCATGCTTTCACTTTTAAAAGATAAAATTTTTAGCCCTGACTGGTGTGGCTCAGTGGATTGAGTGCCAGCCTACGAACTGGAAGGTTGGTTTGATTCCCAGTCAAGGCACATGCCTGGGTTACAGGCCAGGTCCCCAGTTGGGGGCTTGTGAGATGTTTCTCTCCCTCCCTTCCCTTCTCTCTAAAAATAAATAAATAAAATCTTCACACGCACAAAAAGACATAATTTTATATACCGTAAATATATATAAAATTCTAGAATACACAAACTTTTTTTCATAGAAGGGAACATAAGAAATTACTGCTTTTTAAAAAAGATTTTATTTATTTATTTTTTGGACATGATAAGTCCAAACTATGAGTCCTGGCCAGGTGCAGCATCATCCTGATGTGCCAAGGCTGCAGGTTCAATCCCCAGTCAGGGCACATACTAGAATCAACCAATGAATGCATACACAAGTGGATCAACAAACTGATGTTTCTTCCCCTTCCCTTCCCACCTCCCTCTCCAAAATCAATAAATGGGGGCGGGAGGGGAGTCCAAACTATTAGCTAACCAAATGGAGACCTAGGCAGGAGATGACTATACAAGCCTGAAGCTAGGTGAAGGAGCAGGGGCTGGAGATAGCGTTAGGAGTCATAAGCATGTGACTGACATTTAAAGCCACAGGACTAGATGAGGTCATTTGGGGAGTTAGTACAGAAGGAGACAAGTTCCTGTTTGCATCCCAGGATGAGGTATGGATGCGGGGCGGCGGGGGTGGCAGGTATTCTGACATACAGAGAAGGAGCAGCCAGCGAAACAGGACTACCAGGAAAGAGGTGAGGGAGAAGCCAAGTGAACAGTGTTTGAAGCTGGAACGCCTCAGCTGCTCCTCAAATGCTGAAAGAGGCCGATCAAGAAAAGAACAGAGAACTGGCAATGGATGTAGCAAGACAGGAGCTGTTGGTGGCCTTTGTCAAGAGCAGTCTTGAGATAAGTGGCAAAAGCCCGACTGCAGTGGGTCAAGGAAAAAAACAGGAGGCGAAGAAGTGATGACAGTAGGGACACCTGATTTAAGTTTTGCTCTAAAGCTGGTTTCCACGTTAGTGGGTTTCAACCGATGAGCACATTACAGAAATGGACTAGACATTAGGTTGCAAAGCAGGAAAGAAACTTCCCAAAGCACAGATTTTATTTTTCAAGCATTCACATGCTTTATTATCTAATGTGTTGTTTTAATATTATAAAGTATTCACAGTATGTGCATCGGCGTATAAAGAGGGAAACTGAGGCTTTGAGAGGTAAGTCACTTGCTCAGGGTCCCGTGGACAGACTGTGATGGGGCCACGGGAGAATCAGGCAGTGCATCTCTACAGCCTGTACTGAGAAAAAGCAGGAAAGGAAGAGCCGGGGACGACTCACAGTCCCAAGCACTAGCAGGGACGGCAGGCGCCCAGTGAGCACCGGGTAGCAGCAATGAGGAGATTCCCAGTGTTGAAGCAGGTTTTCACTGAATGCTTGGTTACTATCGGAATCACAAGTACGTATCGCATTCGAAGGGTAATGTTTCAAAGCAGATACTCTTTTTTGTGAACAGAAAACAAACACAAAACACATGCATCGGTTACCACGTGTCCTAGCTTAGTTAATAAACTACCTTAAGTTATGAAGAGTCTCAACTAATAGAAGATCCATCCATTTGCTAAAATCAAACAATGAGACCGAGCAGGCAGCTGCGATGCGGCCTAGACTACTGACGCGGACAGCGGCCGTCACCTACCTGTGTTCGGCACTGGGCTTCGGTCTCCCATTCCACAGTCTTCTGTTCACAGAGGGAGGCGGCGGGGAGGAGGGCAGAGGCGGGGGAGGAAGGGTGGGCAGAGGCGGCAGGTTCCTTCCATCTTTCCTGAAGCCGATGCCTGGGTTCCCATCCTTGTCCCCTTCTCCATCATGTTCGAACGTTCTCCGGGGTTTGGGCAGGGGGTTGATGAAGGGTTTTTGAGGGAAGCCCCTGTACACACTCTCCAGGCTCTGGCCCCAGGGCTTTCCGCACGAGCTTCTCCTCCCCTCCGCAGCCTCAGGGGTGGGCTGCCTGGTTTCCAGGTCCACGTGGTGGGACCTGAAATCCGAGCCACTCCCACACCCACGGTTCCTGGTTAGGGAGGGCCCCTCCATGGCCTTGTCCGGCAGGCAGTGCGGGGAATAACAAGTCCCTGGTAACTGGGGGTCCAACCCCGCCAACCCATCCTTCAGCGCCTGCTCGAGCTTCTTGACCTGCTTCAGCACAGACAGGCTGGCATTCTGAAAGCGCTGTTTGCCGAGCCGCAGCTCCCGGCCTCTGCCCGTGCCTGGGGCCAGCTCCCGTGCTGGCTGGCTCAGGCCCGGCCTCTGCTCTGCATCCTGTCCCCCAACTTCCGCTACCCCTTCATTCCTCTCGTTCTCTTTGCTCTCTCCTTCCGGCCTTGTTCCGTTCTGAGCCGCTGTGACCCGAGTCCCCACACCGTCGCCACGTCCCCTCTCCATCACGCAGGACGGCCGGTAGTCCTCTTGCCCACCTGCTTTCCTGCCAGGTGCAGGAGCAGGCAACTCCTTTTTGCCTTCCCATTCTGATATCTTGTCCTTTATGCTGAGGGACTTGGGCCCAGCCCCACCTCGGGCAGGAGGGCAGGGGTCCTGGGCACCGCTGAGCTGCCTCCTGCTGGCCCTGCTGGCTTCTTTAGCACTGAGACCTGAAGCTCGGTCGCTGATGATCATATTTGAGTTGAACATGTTCTGCTGAAAACAGTCTATTCTTGACTTTAGCATCAGGTTATTGAGGCTTTCCAGAGGGCTTCGTCGGAGGCGTGAGTCCCGATCAGTCTCTAGGAAAGGAGTGGAGGGCCTAAAGGGCTGCCTTCGACGGTCCTCCCCAGCCTCTGGACCGTCCACCTTGACCCTGAACAAGAAAAATAAACACTGGGTAAGGGATTCTTATTTATCAGCTGCTGATAGAGATTCCTCAGAACTTAAGATATAAATGTTCTATGCTAGTTGCATATCATGATCATTGAGACTACCATTAAAAAAACCACATATTTTTCTTGGGGAGATATCATGGAGCTTTTGGATTTTGGAGTCCAGTAGACTTGGGTTTAAATCCTAATTCAACTACTGGCCAGCTATGTGACCTTGGGCAAGTTGCTTAACTTCTCTAAATCGCAGTTTTCTCATCTGTGAAGTAGGAATAATAATAATACATACCTAATTGGGTGACTATAAACACTGAATGAGCTAGCCCACATAAAGCATATAGTATGTTGTAAATATACAAGAAGTGGTGGTTACCATTATTAGCTTTTTTTCCTCCTGATAAAAATAGGAGAAAGGTCATGAGATAAAAGAGTATATAGTTTAAGTTTGCTCTACTTCTTTAATCGGTGGATAAACCTTCATAATGACTATTTAAAAATTAAAACAATGCCATGAGTTATAAAGTTGTGCTAATTCTGCGCTTGCTAAGTTGTCCTGATTTGAATCAGTCCAGACACATGATTGGCTGCACTGGAATTAACCGTCCTAATTCAGAATGTAGAGAGTGGTTTCTCCATGAGGACAGGCATTGTTTTGTTTTGAATTGAGCCTGTTTTGGCTACTGCTGTCTCCCCAACACTTAGAACAACACCCAGCGGAGAAGGCGGCCAATCAATCTTTGCGGCTGTGTCCCTAACACCTAGAACAACACCCAGCAGAGAAGGTGGCCAATCAATCTTTGTTGCATGTTGCATGGATGAGTGAATCAGCAGGTGGATCCAGATTCCACGGAGGGGCCTTCAACTGCACTGTACAATGCAGTGGCCACCAGCCCTACGTGACTACTGAAGCAGAAGTCAGATTAAACTAAAGCTTCGGTTCATCAGCCGCACCAGCCACGTGGTGAGAGCTCAGTAGCCACGTGTGGCTAACGGTTACTGCATGGACAGTGTAGAGCATTTCCACCGCTCCAGAAAGCTCTGGCCTGGAATGTGCATGCGGGGATACATGTCTCCAAATGTGATCTTAGGAGACCAGCTGGTGACATGAAGATGTGAAAGAAAAACAAAACATTTTTAAGCTAGTCTAATAAGAACGGGAGAATCAGTGTTTTGAAATGTAAAACTGTCTTCCACCGGCACAGATCATGACTGCACACAGTGGCCCTAGATGTGTCAAGATTAGCAAACATGCACGGGCCAACTTCATGGTGCACGTTTTCTGAATATGCACATCAGGCTGTAGAGGAATTCTGAAACCCCTGTAAGGTTCATACAAGGGATGAATAATTAGCAATTTCACGCCCCCTGTGACTATTTAGGCGTTCTATCCCAAAGACTAACTGTTGTTTATGTAAAGACTTCTCCCCACAGGGACATTAGCTCATAAGTTGTGTTGCTATTCCTGGTTGCTCAACATAAATTAAAAACTTGTGAAACTGCAAACACGTTTTCATATGTTAAATATGGCTACCAATGCAGAACTCCTTATTTAAATAAACAATTAGCACCCATAACAGAGTGCTTACAGAAAAGAAACACATTTTTTAATTGTCCTGTCACCACTAAGGACATTGGCATGAATTCAGATTTAGTCAGAATCAGAATCATTTTGTTGATATTTTACTGAGAATTCAACAGGCAGAAGTTAAGTCCTTGCTCTCACAGTGCTCGAGTGAGATGAAGAGACAGAACAGACAGAAAAACACAGTTCAGCCCCCAGACAGTGTGGCTCAGTGAGCTGGGCACCGTCCCACAAACTGAAAAGTCGCTGGCTCAATTTCCGGTCAGGGCACATGCCTGGGTTGTGGGTACAGTGCCCAGTTCGGGTGCACAGCAGAGACAACTGATTGAAGTTTCTGTCTCATATTGATGTTTCTCTCCCTCTCTCCCCTACTCTGTTTTCCTCCCCCTCGGAAGGAAGGAAGGAAGGAAGGAAGGAAACTCCATGGTTCAGGTTAGTGCATGCTCAGTGACAAGTGATGATATAATACATAATTAGTATCATATGTACTGTCAAACAATACTGACAGCAGATAAATACATGGTTTTAGAGTCAGAGGGACCTGGGTTTGAATCTTGGCTCCTTTCTTTCCATCTTAATGTAAGCACCCTATTTCCTTTGTCTAGACTGGAACTTTAGGAGTACAGAGGCCTAATTTATCTTGTTTGCTGTGCCCAGTCCATAACAGCTAGTCATTAAATATCTATTAAATGAATGAGTTAATATATGTAAAATGCCCAGAGCACATACATTATAAAGCTGGATATTAATAAATGGTAACTAGTGTTAGTTACTGATGAGAGCTATTGTCTAAGGTCCCAAACATCTGGCAGGACCTCGCACTCACGGAGGTCCCGTCTGCAAGCTGAAGAAGGGAGATGCCTTGCCAGCAGGCCACGCTAGACTGACAACGCTCAAGCGAGAGCAGCAGGGATGACGAAACTGAGGGCAGAGAGCCTTCTTCCCGCAGATGCCGCTCCCAAGAACCTCTCAAGTGCCTGTTTCCAGGGCTCTACGGCTCCAGGAGGGGCTCCAAAGCTGTGAACAGCTCAGTGGTCGCCAGCTCCTTTGCAGAATGTGAGAGGGAGTATCAGAGCAAACATCTGGAGAGAAAACAATCCTGCTAACATCAGACGAGTAAAGACGGCTATGTGGACAGATACAGCTGCAAAGATCGAGGGCTCACTGAGAACTGTAGCACCTGTGCGTTCTAGGGTTTAGAAAAATAAACCCTGGGCTGGAATGTGTAGATGTGGCCCTGGGATCATCCTCTCAACATACTGGGTGCTAGTCAGACCTTCCCTTGACCACTTTGGTCTCAGGTCCTTAAATGAGCGCAGCTCCTGGAGATGATGTGCAGGAGGCTCATCAGGACGACTCAGAAAAGAACACCTCCTCGGTTCGTGGCAGGGGGGTGAGGGAGCAGGGGAAGGCCGTGCAGAAGGAAGGAGACTGAGAATCTGGGCCAAGTTCTTCACTCTCAGGAAAAAAGTTCTTACTTGTCAGCCAATTTGTAGCTCAGGTTTTCAGTCTGGCTGTGGCTGCCCTTGGCCGGCCCACACACGGTCATCATGTCAGCACGGAGAGGAGGTCCCGGTCGCCTGGGGGAACAGGGATGCACACTCCGTGAGCCGCCACCCCAACTATTTACCCTGGATGGAGTCTATCCAGGAGTGGAGGGGGACCGGCAGGTGCCATGCAGAACCCCTGACCCAGGAACGGGGGGCAGGGACACAGAATCCTGGGGTCCACCCAGATTCAGACCCCACGCCAAACATCTTCTCCCAAGTGCATGTACATATAAAAAACACATAGGCTTAGAAGGCAAAACAAATACCAGTGCAACCTGACACTTCTTCCGCCTCTATAAGAACTTGTGATGAGCTAAGAACCCTCAAAGAAGGGAAGAGCTGCTGCTACTTTATTTGAAACAAGAAATAAACTGGCCACCAAAGTGTGAATACACTCACAGAAGTCGTCTACTCTTCTGTTAGCCCCAAGGGTGGGCAGGCGCAAGCCCACACTGCCCTTGGCTTGGGAGTCCTGCACAGAGAGCCTCTCCCAGCAGCTCCAAACCCAAGAGGAGGGACCGACTAGCCACTAGGTCGCCTGTCAAGTCTAAGGAAAACCAGGAGATGGTCCTGATAACCCAGGAATCCCACTGAGCGCCTCAAACCTGAAAGAGGACAGCAGCCATAAGGGTACCAGGGCAGCAGCAGCGGTTTTGTAACACTCCCTTGGGCACCTGACATCTAAACGCACTGGAGTAGCTGATGAAGGAGTATTATTTCAGCCCTGCTCGGTGTGGCTCAGTTGGCTGGGTGTCATCACGCAAAGAGAAAAGTCGCCAGTTTGATTCCCGGTCAGGGCACAAGCCTGGGTTACAGGTTGGGTTCCCAGTCAGGGTGTGTGCAGGAGGCAGCCGATCAATGTTTCTCTGTCACACTGATGTTTCTCTCCCTCTTTTTCTCCCCGCCCCCAAAATAAATAAAATCTTAAGAAAAAATTATTTCAATAGCAAGTCCCTACAGCAATCCGTGTCTCCCAACGTGAGAACAAATAGGCATTGCACAGGTGGGCGTGGCAAGGGAGAGGAGGCCCGTTGAAGAATGCCAAGCACGCAACGCATGGATGCTGCAGGACCCGTCCCTCCTGAGGGCGAGGAGGTTAACTGCTTGACTGGAAGTGCAAGGAATACTGAGGCCCTGGAGATTCACGTTTCTTTTCCACTGAACCTCCAGGGAATCCCTCTCCCATCTCTATCTCACGTTTCCAAGGTTCCTACCCCCACCGCCAAGATGGTTCATCTGCCAGGTGGCCGGGTGGCTGTCCAAGGTCCTGGCCTGGGCATCCCTTCCCCCCAAGAACTCTAAGAGTTGGGTTTCAAGACATGCATATTACCCTCGGGAACACAGAGGAAGGTCAGAGGGAGAAAGAGAAAAGGAGAAAGAGAATGGACATGGGCAACAAATTAAGAAGAGGGAGGTGTGCTTGCTTTGGCAGCACATTACTAAAAAGAGGGAGATTAGGGATCAGTGGGCTGAAAAAAATCAACAAAGGGAACAGACAGGCCCAGAAGCTGTGTGCATGGAAGGGGACGGAGCTCCGCCTCACTCATGGGCTCCGCAGTCTCCGTGCCCAGCGATGCCACGCCCTGCATTTGGGGTAGGTCAATGCTGAAAGCAAGCCCAGCTCTTTCAAGGAGCCGGGCCCCAGGGCTCTCCCGTCCCCTGATGGAGTAGAGCCCTGAAAGGCCTTTCAGGGACAGGAAGGAACTCACTGCCCCTGTCACAATGCTCCACACAGCTTCTGGAGCCTCTCCATCTGGCTGGGCTGGCAGACACTGCTCTTCTGTCCTGCATCTGGCAGATCGCCCACCGGAGGTCTAGGATAGCGGCCACTCCCCGCCGCCCGCCCAGCTGCCCCGCGTCTGCCCTGTGTCTCCAGGCAGACCAAGCCCGCTGTGATGCAGCCTTGTTCCGTGTGGGCACCACTCTCCCAGCCCATGCCCTTCTTTCAAGCCGGCGTCCTCTTCCACGGGCACGAATAGGTGCCAGGCCCTGTGCAGGATGCTCCGGGACGCAAGATGAGTAAGACACGGTGTCTGCCCTCAGGGATGGCACCCAGGACTGTGCCCGGGTCACAGTCAGTCCTGCCATCCAGCCTTCCCCCCACGGGAAGAGTGGCCCTATAATTCCCAGGAAGCCTTAACTTTTCCAAAAGGGACAAAGCTCACTGTGTCCAATGCACAGAGAACCACATACGCACTTTGAGGTTAAGGATCAAGAAACACTTAAGGGAACACTACATAGCCTGTGTGAACAGCTATCCGCTGTGCTGGACACCTAAAACTAATACAAAGCAGTGTCGAATGTAAACTGCAATCGAAAAATAAAATAATAAAAAATAGAAACGGTTAAACAACATGGTACTTAAGTAAATTCGTTTTCCATGGGGCAGTAATATTAAACCATGGTCTCTAGAGAAATAGCTGATACCGTATTCGGAGAAGCAGGTTCAAGGGGGACTCAGGAGCTGAAGCTGAGGGAGCACAGCAGCCCGTACACATGGAAATCAGCCCACCAACCTTTCTGAATTCACAGAGGAATGGAAAGTGCTTCTCCTGCAAAGCTTTGATCCTCCCTTTTTGTCTCTAATGTTAAAAGTCATTAATTAGCCCTGGCCAGTGCGGCTCAGTGGATTGAGCACCGGCCTGTGAACCAAAGGGTGGCTGGTTCGACCCCGGTGAGGGCACCTGCCAGTGCTGCAGCGGGTGGGGGGAGGGGGCGCGCAAGAGGCAGCCACACACTGATGTTTCGCTCCCTCTTTCTCCTTCCCTTCCCCCCTTTTAAAAATAAAGAAAATCTTTTGGAAAAAGGGTGAATGTCATGGTGTGTGAATTACATATCAGTAAAGCTGTTGTTATTTAAGACCATGCCTGGGGAGGAACCATCGCTAAGAGCGAGGAGCCCTGGCCCCACCGCAGACCACGCTTCCTTTCTTGCCACCGCCCCGTCGGTCAGCGACAGAAATACCCGCCTTGGAGAGGCAGTCTTTCGCTCCCCACTCCGGTGTATCTGTTTGCTCCCAGTTCAGAGCGTCCTCGCAGTGGGACTGGGACGGCAGGGCGGGGCGGGGGTTCCCAGCACACAGCGAGTTGCTCCTGCCCCTGGAGCCCAGATGCCCACGCCCCAGAGGCCACTTCACAGGGCTGTCCCCACACAGGCCGCAGTGTCAAGCCTCCTTCTCCGAGAGGGGCCTTCAGACCCAGAGTAGAGTCTGAGTAATTTTAAGACCCTGTCAGTATGAATACCCAGTTCTGGACAATAATATTTCCATTTAACAACCTGACCTACACCTGCCAGTCTGCCTGGCAAAGGAGGCCACTGGGAATTTGTGGTCGGGGCACCTTGAGAAGAGTGGACTCCCGAGGCTAGAAGCAGCTAAAGATTTTTCTATTGTTCTCACTACTTCTTAAACCCAGGAGGGATTTATTTCACCTCTGCAGAATATTCCTACATATAGAGATGTATTCGGCCACCCGAGTAGGATGGAAACACATTTTTCACTTGACGGTTTCTGCAAAGCATGCTTTTTGCCTCACCCACTTGCGAAGTGGAAATACTTCCATAATGTGGCCTTTGGGTTCACCGCTGTGTGGACGGTAAAGAGGAAAGTACCATTAGGTGGCTGTCCTGCACATGAACACCAAACCAAACCTCGGCAGGCGCTCGGCTGCGTCACTACCAGCGTCGCCTCTCTGGTAAAAGTTAGCGTGAGTTTGCCATAAATCATAAAAGTATGAAATTATCTAAGTTATAAATATGCTATTACTGTCAAAAGATGGCTTAGAAATCTGAATTCAAGGAAATGTATTTTATTTTTAAAAAATACTTTTTTTTGTTTTTTTGGGGGGTCACCCAACTATGAGAAGTTAGGTTCTAACTTCTTTTCATTTCCGATTTTTTTTTTTTATGCTCACCTGAGGACATTTTTTCATTAGTTTCAGAGAGAGAAACATCAGTGTGAAACAGAAACATCTATTGGTTGCCCGCCCCATATGCACCCAGACTGGCGAAGGAACCTGGAATCTGGGCATGTGCCCTGACCGGGAATTGAACCTGCAACCTTTTGGTTTATGGGATGATGCTCTAGCCGAGCCACACAGGCCAGGGCTCCGCTCTCTAATATTTTAACTTGCTCTCCCTTCTCTCTGTTCTTGGCTACGCCGGAAACCACTTCTTGTTTCTAATCGCTAAAAAAGTCAGTGTCAATGCTCCTACCATTGTTCTGATGAGGAAACTGAGGCTCAAGGGAGTTTAAGTTCCAACAGCTCGTGAGTGAGAGCCAGGGGTGAGTCTCTGCTTTGAATCCAGTTCCAGTCCCCCTCATACACCATCACTGTGGCCTCATATTACAGGATCTAATCTGGACTAGATCTATACTTTAGCTCTTTATTTTGAGAGTCCCTCTGGTTTAGCTTCTCAAGGCCAGCAATTGTTTTGTCCTCTTCTTACACGATGCTGAATTTCCTGAATGTCTGCTAACTGAGCGAGCTGGGAGGGAGAGTGTGGGTTTTTGTGGGTCTCTCTTCTTATGGTTCTGTGATTATACATTTCTTTACTTTGGGCATCTACCCTAAGAAATAATCCTAAACATGGAAAACTGTATATATTAAATGTTTATAGTTATATTACTTATAATATTTAAAAATTTAAAAAAATCAAATATCAAACAATATAATGGTAAACTATAATAGAGCTATTCAATGGCATATTACACAAAAAAATTACATTATGTTTAAGAAGACTACAGTTCTAACCCTGACTGCTGTGGCTCCGTTCATTGGGTGTTGTCCCACAAAGCGAAAGGTCACCGGTTCGATTCCCACTCAGGGCACAAGCCTGGGTTGTGGGCTTGATCCCTAGCAGGGTCGCATATGAGAGGCACTGTTTCTCTCTCAGATCAATGTTTCTCTCTCTCTTTCTCTCTCCCTTCCCTCTCTCTAAAAATAAGTAAAAATTTTTTAAAAACTTAAAAGAAAAGACTACAGTTCTACAGTGACAAGAAACAGACGAGCAGCCGCTGGGTGGGGTGTGGG